TCCATTTAAAAGTTATCTAAGTTTGAACACAAGAAATTTATAATTTAAATAAAAAAAATCTAAAAATCATCATATTATAAAAAATTGAGATGAGAAAAATGCAACCTACCTCAAGCTGAATAATTTTTATAAGTGGGTCATCAACTGAAAGTGACTCGAAGAGGCTCAAAGCTGATTTTTCTCTGTAGAAATTCTTCCTCTCTAGCATGTTGTTGTGATTGGCTGAAATGAGCTGATTTAATGTAAAAAGATATTTTTATTTTAAATTTAGGACCTTGGGTCACGCGCTTGATCCTGCGCTCCATAGCGATCGCTTAAGGAGCACACAACGACGCAGCGCTACTGTGTTAAATTAATTTCAAGATTCCAAAGAGCTTAGAGTCAAGCCACCTACAGAGGAAAATTCTAGATTTTAGAACATGCAAATAGACCTCTGGTATTCGCTTTAAAACACATTCAGGCATTCACATGTATACAAAATATTTTCAGACACATGCACATAGGTTTAAATATAGAAATTGAGTAATTTAACTTTTCAGATTGCGTCAGAATATGTGTAATTCTATCCTAATTCAGTTGTAGTTACAATTCTCCCCTTCTCGTAAAAATATCATTATCAATATTTCAAAATTTTGATCAAGATACTCAGTTCCTCAGGAAGACACGTAAAAGATAGTATGTATGTCATACATGTAATTATGAAACAGTAACCTGTAAGCAAAACTATCAATCTTTTAAATAATCTCAAAATGTCCAATATACTTTGGACTCAACTTACTAATTCTCCCAAATCTAACACCCTTCATCACGCTAATCTTTACATACACAAAATCACCTACCAGAAACTCCATAGAGCGGTGCTTTGAATTATAATTATTTTTTTGCCTGTCTTGCACATATGTTAATCTATCTTTAGATTAGATGGTTATTGTAGCTTCATCCACCAAAAATGGCCTTAACAATTACCTTTCCCCCATCTTTGTCCAAGATAAATTTGTCCTGCATTTTCTCACATATAGAGCTTCATAAGTGTCCATACTTAAACTCGATTGAAAGTTATTATTATAGGAAAACTAAAAAACTTGGAGGTAAACCTACATCATGACCAGAGACGATAACTTTTGGAATATTATGCAGCGGACAATGTCCTGTATATGTATCTAAGCCAACCTATCTATAAAATCAGTCTATCCGATCCGAATGAAATGCACATACTTTATTAGATCATCTAAAATGGCCTAGATAACATTGTGGTCTTGCTTACACCTTTAAAAACCATAACAAAATCTATTGTTATCTCCTCTCATTTTCACTCAAAAATAGGCAACGACTACAGAAGACCATCCAGTCATTGATGCTCTATATTCACTAGCTAACAAGTTTCACATTTTGAAATAAAAACTATCACATCTTTCTTCAATATGGGCTACCAAAACATACATTTCATATTGTCATACATTTTGCTACTTCCGGATAAATCATACAACCTGAATAATATGCATCGTGTAGAATCTCAGCCTTTAAATTTTCAATAGTAGGGACCCAAAATATATTATTACAAAAAATAACACCAAAATATATTTTAAGAAAATCACTATTTAGATTTCTTAAAAGACTTGATCTGATCAAACAACTTCAAATAATTTATATCTGACTTCTGAGCTTCTTGAATCCTCTCCTATATAGTAGGCTAAATAATCATCTCGAATAATGTGTCTGAATCTATATCAACGGATCTCACTATCACTAACTCTAGTTTCTTCATATCGCAAATAAGAGAATCAACAGGAGCAAGTAGAGAAAAAGATGCATCAAAATATTTCATGCTCAAAGCATCAACTATTATATTCATCTTACCAAGCTGATACTGAATCATTAGATTGTAATTCTTAATCAACTCAAGTAACCTCTTGTAACAACCCATATTTTTAATCAGTAAAATAATTATATATCAATAATTAGTACTTTAATTATGATAATTTTCTCCTAATTTTATAAATAGTGTAAAAAATTGACACGTATTAGTACAAATGAAGTTTTTGGGACCATTAGGTGTTCGTTCTACAAATCAATTTCACAGGAATTTTTATTCATATTGTGCTATCTAATAAATATTTTTCTATAATTTTTAGAGCCCTAAATTTGGAAAATAAAAAGTTTATATGAATTTTATAGTTAAAACTAAATAATTGACATAATTACAAATACAATCTAAAGATATTTTATTATAAAATATCTTTATCCATTGTAAAAATCATTAAAAAATGATTTTATCATTTCATATTTGTTTAAACCTAACCATAGAAGAGAAATAGGAAAAAGAGAAGAAAAAGAGAAGGAGAGGAGAGGGAAAACCTAGGTTTGTGGGTCATAGAGCCAATTTTGCCAGTTTATCCAGTTATGAAATTTACTCATCTCATTGTAAACTATCATTACCTTATCTATGATTTCAATGATTTTGTATATTTTTTGTTTTATGAATTTAATTTGGTCATTACCATTACTATTACCTATCCATTATAGAACTTATTATATTATATGAGTAGATTTAATGAAAAAATATATTTTTATTTTGAATTCAGGACCCAATGCCATGACCCTTGATCTTGTCGATTGCAACACTCCTTTAAGGAGCACATAGTGTCACCCTCAGTGCTACTGTGTTAAATTAATTTATAGAATTCCATAGAACTTAGTCATGACCCCGCCTAACCCAGCACCATGGCGCCCTAGGGGGAAAATTTTGGATTTTTTAGAATATGCAAATAGACCTCCAGAACCTGCTTTAGAACACATTCAAATATTTACAAGCATTCAAAATATTCTCAGACAAATGCAGATGGGTTTAAATGTTGAAATTTAGTAATTTACCTTTTTCAAATCATGTTAGAATATAAGCAATTGTATCCTGATTCAGTAGGTGTTACACATTGCCTATAGACTTCAGTGTGGAGCTGATCCATGGTGGCATCAAATGCTTCAGATGAGACATTAATATGGAAAGTGATGAGTTCAAAGTTAGTATGGAATGAAATAACTATTACGAAGTCATTTTCTTCATGCAGATTTTGAGCAAATGCTCTACTTGCAATACAAGCATTGTTTGCGAGGAAATTGTTTGGTGAGTGACTATACATAAGAGTTTTATCTGAATGAATCCAACAATCAATTGGTTGCTCACTATATTGGTGGTCTCAATGATTCTATATATAACAGATTTGAGCTGAATTCAATAAGGTCAATCTCTAAGGCTGTATATTTTTCTATGAAGGAAAAAAAATCAATCAAATAGCCCGTCGAAAGGTCATTCATTCTGTCGGCAATTCAATGACCAATTTGCTGACAACAATATGCCCAATGTTCAAATGTTTAAAGCTTCCCAACAGCAGACACAACTCTTGATACATTAGTCCCATGCGCTGAATATCCATCCCAAAGTGGCTTATAAATCTAAGGCAATGGACAAGGATAACTCGTATGTGAAAACCAATACTTTGAAGTGTTTCATATGCTTCAAACCTTATCACAAGTCAAACAAATGCCTAAAGAGTCAAATCATTCAGCTTATGGAAAATAAAGAAGACAAAGACCTTCTGTGTTGAAGATGTCATTTGGAATGATGGTGAACCGTTAGTATGTGTGATAGAGAAGTTGCTGCTAGCACCTTGCCGCCCCCATCAATTCTCAACAAAATGCAATTTTATGCATAAGGTGCATTATAAATGGCAAGATATGTGATTTTCTCAAGAATAAAAGATGTACTCAAAATATAGTGTCACAAGTTATCATTCAAGCCTTGCAACTCAAGATTACGAAGAATCCAAACCCTTATAAAACCAAATGGGTAAAGAAAGGAATGCAAATCTTTGTTATTGAAATGTGCTGATTGACCTTTTTCATTGGCAAGTACTATGTATGCGATGTTTTATGAAATGTATTAGACATGGATGTGTTTTGTGTTATTTTGGGAGACCATAACAATTTAATACAGGGGCTATTTACGATTTTCGAGCCAATATTAATTCATTTGAATGGAAGGGGAAAAGCATAGACTATTGCCCAACACAAATGAAAGTAGCACCTTAATGTCCAATGGGAAATATGTGATGCATATATGATGAGTTTAAAAAATGTCATGTTTTACATGTTAAATTTCCAGTGAAATCGTGTTATTTTAGTTTTGTTGTGCAGGAAAAATACAACAAAGGCATGAAATTTCAAGTATCATACAACGTCGCGGTGTTGGACACTATACCGCCACGATGCCATTATTAACACAATCAGAGCGTCTAATATGTACATGGTGATGCCCAGTCTCTGCTTGACAGTGCCACAACATCGGAGGATTCAGCATTGTAAAGCCAAGTCTTTGTCTGCATAGTATCGCGACGCCAATTTCCAAGGTCGGCAAGCTAAGGGGAATAGTACGTGGACGCCGCAGTGCTCAACCGTAAGCAACACCGTAGCGCTACTATTGTAATTAACCAAGACACGAAGTGACGGCGAAGCGACACATTGATTCATTAAACAGCTGGTTCATGTCAACAAGCATCACATATTGGGAAATTCTTCGAAACTATGGCATTAGTTCTTTTAATGGGAGCTACGACACAAGTATCTAGAGTGTCATGGAATTAGAGTTTTTTTTTTTTGTATTTTTTCATAAATAGTCATTTGTAATGTTAGTAAGATAGTTCATTCACTTAGTTGATTTCAGTCTTCATAGTGCTTCTCTGCAATTTCTTAGAAGTGACAACTAAGGGAATTCGGTGAGCATTAGATCCACTTCATAAGAGTGTTTGGTCAATATATATGGAAGCAATTCTGTAAACTCAAGGAGGAGTGTATAGGAGATCATTAAACCCATCTTGTGATATATTTTCATATGTCATTTCTATTTTTTCTGCAATTAATAAAAATGAATTTACTTCCTTATTCTTTATATCTAGCTTGTTGACCTCTATATAAAAAATTAAAAAAGAAGCAGAAATCCCGCTTACCAGCCTGTTCAGCACCGTCTGCGTCACTTCTCCGTGATATCCACTCCAAGCCCGTGCGGATCACCTCGATCGCACCCCATTGTCATTAATAAAATGAGGAGCCAAAGGCCTTGGTGTTTTTCATTATCTTCTTCCCAAATCCTGCACCGTCTCCTCCCTATCGCAAGCCACCCGATCTCTCTGCCTTGTTGTCGACCCAACTCTCAAAATACAAGCCCGACACCCCCTTAAATGCCCTCCTACCCTTCTGAAACCCTGTCTGAAGCCTTGTCCGACCTCATCATCCCGTCCGACTCCAACTGCAAGCCGAAGCCTCCAACCTCCACCGATTCCTACCTGTAGCCGACTCCAACCAACCGAACTCCTTAGCCGATCCGACCTTCAACCGCCCCTCTTCCGACCCTGTTTAAACACCTAAATCCCTAAGCAGAGCTTGCTCTAGCCGCCGACTTCAAGACCCCCTTTGCTAGAGTCCCGATCAAACTCCTTAGCCAAACCCCATACCCGTCAGCTCCATTGTTTATGACCTAGCTCTACCTATTTCCTCCCTTATCCAAGCTAATTCATACCTGAAACCTCACAACCAGCTTATCTCTCACTCTTTATTAGAACATATATTATTATATAATATATAATATATGTATCTATTATAAAATATAAAAAAATCTGTGATATATATATATAAGAAGAAGAAGAGAGGGGAATAAAAAAGGAAGAAAAAATCAGAAAAAAAAAAGTGAAAAGAAAAAAATATATAATAAAAAAAGAAAGAGAAAGGAAAAGATTTTGTCATTTTTTCCATCACCGCCAATTCCTCCTCGCCCAGGTATAACTTCAATGACTCAAAAACTCATTTTTGACGTTTTCATCGAGCCGACAAATCTCCTATATGCGCTCTCATAGCACGGTAGGAGGAAATCCAATACGACACATACGGTGAGGAGGGTAAGCCCTGTCCACGCACTTGTAGTGTGGCTTGGAAACCTCTAAGTACATGTACACTCTCTCGCAGTGTGGCAGGGGAAAGCTAACTGCATCTTCCTACAGGTACTTTGAAGCCCTATACACACTCTCGTAGCGTGATGGGAGTGAAGATATACGGTCGTGGTGTCCCCCGACATCTACCATATATGCTCTTTTAGTGTGGTGGGATGGCTCAGGTTCCTGAAATTTTCTCTAAATAGGGGACATGACAGGATGCTGCTAAAATTCATAGCAAATATAATGGACTGGGACTCAAATGAACAATAAGGAGACTTGTTTTGGACTTAAATGAACTCAAATCTAATAATTTTGAACTTTAACCAAATGACATGAAACATGACATAAAGGTTGGGCCACAAAAGACATCTCAACAATTAATAAAGAACTTGCAAACTTTTGAACATCTGAGAACTTAAACTTAAACAAATCGACAGGGAACTTGACTACAAACAAGACAACAGAGGACATGAAAATTTAAATTGAGCATACTAATGCAACCATATGAAAAATGACATAATGCTAAAAATGAATTTATGATTTGCAAAGTAATAAGCTCTAACTAAAATGCATAATGAACTTGGAAGTATAAATGCCAAACAACGGTTCAATGCATTCAAATAAGCATTAGTGAATGAACAAGAAACTTGAATTTGAATGGAGCTGTGTTGAACCAGACTTTAATTTAATGATAGAGGGATCAAAATATAGATGCTTAATGAATGAATCCATGTGGGTTAGGGAAAGATCCTACATTTCTACCACCAACAACAATTCAACTCCAAAAAGATATAAAAAAGAAAGGTCAAATGCAAATAAACAAGCAAGGAACTCATGAAAGATAAATCTTCAGTGCACCAGAGTAGAGGGCAGAAAATCCAATTAACTTAAAGTATTTGAATGATCACAAATGAATATCAATGAGGAATTGCAAACAATGACTTATGAAAAGGGAAGTTTCTGCACATTACTCATAAGCAATAGCGTAAGGAATGTAGTTTATTAACAAGCAACATTAGAGGAGTTGAAATGAATAAAAATAATTGTGGTGATAGAAGATTCATGATATGTGCAATACTTCATTCACAAACAAAATTAAAGGAGTGATCATATATACCACAACCTGCTCATAATCAGTGCTTGTCAACCCATAATCCTTCCATAAATAATAAAAAGTGGCAATCCAATCAATGTGCCTACAATCCAAAGTATGAAATTTTAAGTAAATGTTGATAAACTTCATGCCAATCAAGATGCAAATATCAACAAACATTGAAAATTAGTACACAAGAAAATGTAGCCATTCATCAATCAACATGTATGAAGGAACTAGTGATGCATATAACTCACCCGACAATTCATGTTAACATGCAACCAACGATGCAATATCCCTACAGTCAACAACAACTAGCTAGTGAAGAAAAATGACAATCCCTTACAAACAATTACAATATACTTATGAGTATACATGAACGAAGTGACAGAACTCCAAATGAATAAAATGACTTATGCATGAGAGATGCAGTGATATGCTTGTGAGTAAAGTTTACATATCTAATAGCATGTCTATAATGGGTATTATGTGCACAGAAGTCTACAATAGTTATTCATACCGCCTACAGTAATACTTAGGCAAGAATACATATCTATCTCTTGCAAATAGAAAGATTGGACATATGATATACATGACAACTCAATGTATTCAATGAAGCCTAAAGTGTATACAAGAAATCCTTCATAAATGCAATATCACACTTGTAAGTGAAGATTATCAGCAAAGAGTGAATAGTATGGTATTCTAGAGCCAACACTGACTGATATACAAGCACCTACAATAGTCTCCATGAACACTGAAATATATGCAAGATAATGCAGTAGCTTGCCGATCGATAAGTATAACAGGACAATGTCAAATGTAGCAACACCAAACATCTTAAATCAACATACAATTACCTGGAGATGAAGATGTATTTGGAGAATCTAAAGCAGATACCATCCTCATACAATCAATGCCACTAGATTGTAAGTGAATACACTGATTCCTTATAAGTAAGAGCAAACGATACATAGCAAAGTGCAAATACCTAAAGGCCCTTTTAAGTGACCCATCATACACGCTACATGACATCCACAAGTAGAAATGCAGAAATGACTATGTCAAATACATAAGAGATTTTAGTATATGTAGTATCTTGCAGTCAGCATCAATTTGTGAATGAACACAATGACATTCGCAAGCAAAATACACTGATCTGTTGTATGCAGAGACAGAAGATATGCAGCAAATATAAACTTATACAGGTCACTATAGAGACCTGTCATATACACCAAGTGTCACCTACGGGAAAATATAAAAATGTTGCGATAAATACAAGCTTCTACGAGATGTTGTAGAAGACCCGTTATATACCACATGTCATTATGTTATATCCGAGGATGCTACAAAAAAATTAAAATATATATATATGAGGATGCTAGGAAGGCTAGACAATAAACCCAAGTTAGAGCCTAATCCTTTTATATGGGTAGATATGAGTCAACATGGCTCCAACCCTTAAATAAATATACAGTCACGGTATTGACCAAAATATTTATTTTTTAGTTCATGTTTGGCCTTTAATGTCCTTAACAAGGAAAATTAATCAACAAAAGTATTAGGCCTACAAAAAAAACCTGATCCTCTATCAGTAAGTGGACAGGGTCAACAAGGTCTAACCAATAAAATAAAATGACCCTAATCACCCTGATCATGGATGTATTGAATGCAAATCTCAATTGAAGGGTTGCACACAAATCTTAAATAAATACCACCCAAGTAACCATGAAATTCAAAACTCTAAAAGTACATAAAAGTATAAAATATTTAAAATTGAAATAAACCATCAAATATTTAAAGTAAAACCCATCCATCCTCCATAACAGTTTCCTAAGGTGGACAAATTAAAAAATCATTTCACCTCATAAACAGTTAATGTCTGGTCAAGAATATCACTAGAATTCATTCTCAAATAGTCTCCTACTAATAAGGATGTGGCATGTATCATCTAAATGGTAATTTTGTCACCAAATGGCACTGCATGTAAACAGTTATGATTAGGGCCCTTTGAACCAGTAGTTTGTCATTAAAAGGCACCACTAAAGTATGATTATGGCTAGAGTCCGTATACTCCCCAATGACATTAAATCCTTGAGATATAATTCAATAGGATATAATTGATAGGGCATAAAGCTCTCTGTCAGCTAAGGTAGATTCAAATTTGTCCCCTTAAAAAAACATCTACCCTAGGTCTATAAGGTACCCTTAGATGACACAACCCATGGTTGTTGACAAGGATCCTTCAATCAGGTTTGGTCGACTACCTCCTATGACTTATTAGACCAGGGACCATGATGGCTCGGGATGACAGAACCATAAGATCTTCATCGGGTCAATTATCTAAGCCCCCCCCCCCCCCCCATCATTTGCCTTAAGTGAAGATGGTGAATATTTTCATTTTAAATATCAAATCTTCCAAACACCCAAACCATGTTGCTACTATATGCTAGATACCACATATTTCTACACATCTGATTGACAACTAGCCTTAATCAATAGTTCTCTTTCGTTATCAGGAGGGGTAATTAACTATAGGGGTTTATGCTTATAAAAAAACATATCTCAATTCATAAAGTTCTCACAAAATGAGGGCAAAATCTATAGGTAGTGTCTTATATACAAACCCATCGACCTTCTTAATATTTACATGGGAACTTAATTTGTTAAAGTTCTCCCGAAAGCAACATGAAGGTCGGGGTGAGAATTTTTGGAGCCCATAGGGCTAAATTCTCTAGTTTTAAATTCATGGTATAAATGGAACATAGAGTACTAATAAATTCTCTTCATTAATAATTTAATAATATTTTTAATATATCATGTCTTTATTCTATACATATAGTGTCCATATGTATAGTTAATATTAAGTGTAATATGGAGCCTATGAATAGGAATGCAAACACAAGGAGGTATATTGGAATTTTATGATGCAAGCATAGGTATAATGCTTGACATATACCAAATTTATAGAGATGAATTATAATGAGGGGGTTTTAGTAGTACATATTTTATTTACTCTTCTAAGATTTTCATAGGGTAATAGACAATTGGAGTTTACAGTGGTATTGTTGGAAGAGTTAATCTATCTTTTTCTCTTCACACACGACTGAGAGATCAGTGATGGATATGCTATGAATATCATCAATATAAAAGAGAATCATTAGAAAACATATTGTATTTACATTTCATCAATCCAAAATATTTTATCTAAATAACATTTCATTTAACTTTTTTATTTTAAATTAAGTGATTGTATCTCCACCAAAACATATTTTTATTGAGTGAGATAATTATTATAATTATTGTAGGCAATACTATTATTTACAAGTAAATATTTTTTTTTTCTTGTGGGATCAATATTATACTCTATCACTATATTGCTTGATTTAATGTATATATTGCCTATATTAAGTGACATTTTTATAATTTTTAGATCGAAGAAAACCTAAGCATTATTTAGAGATTGATATATCCCTAAACTTTTTTCATAATTTTTTAGGTTACTCTACCACCCCCATTAAGT